CTTTCTTTTTACAAGCTCTGTTTGGTTCTTCTCTCGCTCCTGAATTCCCTGATGCCTCAAAGACACATTTGTGCAAGGGAAGGAGTATTTCTTTGACCTTGCCATCTCAAAACTGAAAACACAACAACATGTATATTAAGAAAGAAGAAAAGAAATCTCTCCGTACCCACTGGACACACATCTTTCCCCAGAGAAATGACCAGAGGACAGATAACATATACTTCATGTGCCATTGGAGGCACCCAGATACTTATGATTAATAGAACAGAATGGGTTATGTTACACAGCAAATCCACCCCACTGTAATTAAGAACTGCTCCCTCTGACACTGGGCTGCTTCCATCTCTCTTCCCTCTGTCCTTCTTCCCTGTTGTTTTTTGCCTTTCTCCCACTCTTTTTTCTCTCATTCTCTCTGTTACCCCAGTGCCTGGTTATGCGCTGTCACCTAATGACCAACTATTTCCACTTACAAGTCCCTCTCAGCTCTTTTCTTTGGGGTGTTTTTTCCCCAGTCATTACCTGCCCTTCTCTTCTCCCTTTTCCATCATTTCATCACCTTCCTCTTTTCCTTTATTATTTCACCTTGACAAGTATATTTCTCTGTAATTTTTATAGGCATGAGAGATCTATAGTGTGTATTTTGATTGGGAGTGAGAGACTTGCTGGAATTGTGTTGTAGTTTGTCCCATGTATTATGGCTCTTAAATGCCTCTGAGTCCTCTGATATTGCCCCAGGCTCTCTCAGCCTCTTGGACCAATTTTATTTACCTTTCTTTCCACTGGCTTTTAAATGAGCAGCCTGTCACTGTCTGCTTGGATCTCTTGGCCCCTGTGAGATGGTGAGGTCTGGAGGAGCAAGAATCTGGGGCAGAGTAATAAAATAAAGATATGTCCTGATGGTAATTTAGAGAGATTTTGGATGAATGCTTTCCCAAAAGTTTTCTAAAAGGATCCTTCTATATCCATCATGTCAGATACACGGAGAGAAAGGTAGGACCATTCTGAGCAGTCATAATAGAGTTATTTATATTCTGTTCTGAAAGTGAGATTCCAAGACATAAAGCATATTTCACTACGTAAAACATACTGCACAGAAATGCTTCCAGTCCTAATGTTTGCATCAAAGTGACGTGATTATGCTCAAAATCCTGTTTCCTAATACTAATAAAGAGAAAGGATCCAAACTCTCTAGAATTCAGAGGGTCCCATACAGGTTGTGAAACTCACCTGTGTGTCCTTTATATACCCAGAGCAGCAGCTTGAAGGACTGATTATTGCAAATGGCAAATGAATTTACTGCACGTGTCTGAATTTGGAAGGCAGGTTGTTTAAACTCTGTGTAAGAAGTCTGCTTTCCTTAATGCATCTTAAGGTTTTTACTAATAGTCAAGCTCTAAGTGGTTGTGCTGATTAAATTGGTGCAATCTCCATGCCAATGAAACTATGTCTGCCTTGCTTGCATGTACAAGGATGACTTGAGAGTAAATTAGTGTTCATTCTTGATTATTTCGTTCCTGTACATTCTCCTGTGTTAGAAGGGGGGAAAAACACACAAAAAATACTTCCAAGGGAGTTATTCTGTCTCTCATTATCATTCATAATTTGCCTTTGCTATAATTCACATTCCTTCACAAAATAGCAACATATTAGTTAGATCTTTTAATTAAACCCCCAACACCTGCAGGTGAGAAAACACAGATGGATTCGCTCCTCCATGGAAACACTCAGTTCCATGTGAACTGGCCACAGAGCCAAGGAGAGAATAGGTGTTAGAATAACACTCTGCTGCTCACAGTGACTCCATTCATTTCTCCCCAAACAAACATACCTGGGGTGTGTGCACAGCTTGTCCCACAGCTTAACCCTTTGCTCTCCTCTCGTCAGCTGCTGCCTCCACCAGAGACAGGTTTGGTTCTCAGAATGGCACCAAAAAACACCTTTGGGAGTTAGATGTGAGCTTTGGATTTCTCGCTGTGCCAAAAAGAGACTTGTATGGTTCCTGAATTTCTCTCTCTCTGTTAGATCTCTGGCTGGCTTTTTCCTTTTGTCCTCCTGCTGTTCTAGAACCACGAGTCAAACTCAAATTCATAACTCACTGATCTCTCTCTGACCATTGCAACATGAGGATGCAGGATGCAGTAAAGCTGCTCACTGCAGTGTGCACATATACCTGTATAAAATTATCTGCATTTATATTTCTATATTCGATACATTTATCTATATATTCTGTGTAGAAAAATCTTGCTCACCAACATCCCTGTTGAATAAGCAAGTTCTCCAGCACACTGGTTCCTACTCCCAGGGAGCTCCTAGCTGGGAGTTGCAGCGCTATCCCACTATATGAACTGGTTTTCCATGACTATTACCATTACAATTAAGAACTAAAACTATTGGCTGTATTACTGAGAAATTTGAGGGAACAGATGAGAGCAAAGTTTTATTTTAGGCAAATGAAGCTGGTAAAATGTTAATTGTCCATATTGGACACCATGACATTCTGGCTTGTTAAAATTGACATAATTTATTTTTCTTTTTAAACTATATTAATGGTTCTATCAAAGAATGATAAATGTAAGGAAAACTGTATTTTTATTGCTCCATAAGAAAACAATGTGAACAGAGCATTGTTTGAGTTGTGAAATCAAGCACCCAAAACTAAGGAATAACATGGAAGTAGCAGAGGTTACTTGAATTACGGAGAGTTTTTCCATGTAGTCTGACAGGATTTAGATCGAGACCAATATACTTCACATTATGTTACAGGTAGACTTTAAACTTGAAGTATAACCAAAGGCCAATTAGAAGTACATTTGCAGGACACGGAGAAAACAACTTCTCCATTTCCATATACTCGTGTAACTCATTTATAAGTTATGTTTGGATTATAACTCACACATTGTACAGATATTTTTAATGTAGTATTACCCTTCCTGCAGGGTGCAAAAGACAATCACACAGCCTGATGCTTTGGGGATTAGCAGGAAGAGGAGATGGGGAGGAAGAAGGTCAGGCCTGATGGACTAAAGGGCTGGAGAACTCCCGGTGAGGCACAGAACACTGTGTTTTCTGTGCCTGGGTGAAGGTACAGGGCCAGGCCAGGGCTGGAAAGATGAGATTTGTGGTCAGTGACTTGGTCCTGGGCACAAGAAAGGAACTTAGGGGAATTGAGCAAAGCTGGAACAGCATCTGCCTGGTCAAGACTTAAAGGAAGTGATTCTTTCCACCTGAGTCCCAAAGCATCCCCAGTGGGAGAAGCCTATGAGTAGTCTTTGAAAGAGGAGGAATTTCACTCTCTTTAGAATGAGCGTTACACGAGGACACAGTGGTCAGAGCTCTTTGCTCAAGAAGTTGAACCCAATCCCTCTCCAAACCCTTGGATTCTGTCCTGAGCCTCTGCCTGGACAGGAGTTTCCCTCTCTGGGGATCAAACTGAAGGGTTTCTTATTAAAATAGACATGAGCACTTAGAGAGGGTTGGTGTTCCAGCTAAGGCTGCAGTGCATGAGCAGCACCAGAGCTGCCTCTGGTTTGTAACATTACGTGTGAGAATATTCCCCAGAGGAAGTCATGGGAAATGCCCCAGAAGATTCACAAAATTGTGTTCCTCTGACTTAAAGTTTCACCAGGCTTTACTATAAACTCAGGCTTAGCATATACTTTAGTATTAGTAATAACTTATAATCTCTACAAGTTGTATTTACACATTAATTTTACTTTTATATGGACATATTAAAGGTATGTGGAGGTATGAACTCTTGCGCTGCTTTTGAGGTATTGATGGTTAGATAAAAATATAAACAAACCAACCTAAGAAGACACTTTTAAACTTTAGATTATCTAATAACAAATAGAAGAACACTGTACACTATGATGGGATTGCTTACTAAATATAAAATGTTTGGCTTCTACAGTTCTTGGAGAGGATTCTGATGAAGTCTGTTGTGGTGCTTATTTCTAATCCCAATTATAAGTACATTCCACCTACATATGGCCTATAAAAACCATTTTGTACCCTTTCTTACCCAGCCAAATGGTATTTCAGGTGTGTAAGTTCTGTATATAATTTATTTCCATACAAAATTAAAAACACTGAAATGTTTTGTTTAAGATGACCAGGGAGAGGAACTGAAAGGTTTGGACTGATAGTAAAAATTAAAAATGGTATTTAAAATAAATCCTGTTAATTTGCTGAATATTTTTATTCTGTTAGAGATTGAACATGGTGGTATTGGATGTCTTGTAAATATTGTGAAAGGGTTGCTAAAATACAGATTTTTCTTTGGCTCTTTTGACAATTCAGGTTCTCTCTGTAATTTCCCCCACTGGGCTATGTCTGTCTTTGACATCCTTATGAGTTTGTAGTGTGGGAGCAATCACTGGCCACATCCTAACTCCTGACCTGGATGAGACAAAGACCAGTCTCTTCTTTTCTCCCTTGCTCTCTTCTCTGGATTCCTGTGGAGGGAACCCTGGGTGCACACTCTCCAGAGGACTCCTCCTCTGGGTGACCCACACACCCAAACCCTGGTCATGCTCAAGCAGGAGCGTGTCTCAAGACATTCTTCAGGTGCTCCAAACCAGCACGGCTCCCTCAAAGCTCTATTTGCTGACATCAGTTCGTATTTCATCCCGGTCATCTTCCCTTCTTGTCCTCTCTGAAACCTGTGGTCTTTCACTCACACCCAAAGTTCCCCACAGTGTGCCAGTGGCTGCACAGTAAATTACTGAAGTTGACACTCCTCTCTCTGTCCTGTTATGAACTTGCTTTTCCCTGTTTCCATCACAACCTTTTTATTAGGTGGTGAGATATGATGTTTTGTGTCTGAAAACATTAATGAGACAGGTTGAGCACCTTCAAGCAAGAGCATGAAGGAGGGTGAAATGAGGTGTGAATCCGTGCTGAAATTTGGGAACTAACATACTCAGTATACAGTTATAAATAAAAGGGGGGAGAAATTGTTTTCCAAGCATTGACTTGTCACTTTTTATTCACTTTTCTAGCTAATTACAAAAGAATTCCATAGGAAGGACTTCCAGGAGAGGACGAGGGTTTCTCATCTGTGCCAGGGACTCGGCAGGAGCATGTGAGGAGTGAACTCTGGCCTGCTCAGTCTATTTAGCAAGCTCTGAGATGTGTAAGTACATTATCTGCAAGGCTGGTAAAGAGCGCTCAGGGAGGATTTGTGGGTCTGTGGGAAGGACAAAGAAAAATGTTTTCTAATAAATTATTCACAACCTCACAATCCCTTTTGGGCAGGTTGTTGCTCTGTTTGCCCCAGTGCTTCCCGGCTCCTCTCTCCGCATCCACACGCGCAGTTTCTCACCTCCAGAGAGCAGCAGAGATCTCAGGCAGGCTGCTGCAGCTAATGGTGGCAATTAATAACTTGTCATAATCCCGAGGATGGAAGGGAGGGCTCACCATCAGCAGTCAGGTCATGGCGCTTCTGTAAAGCAAATGAGGTGCAGGTGTTGTCCAGATTTAAGAGCTTTGCTACACTCTCGGTGCACTGCAGTGCCAAGCCACAGCCAGAGCATCACCCTACAGGTACATAACTTACTGTACTAGTTTTCATGCTCCAGGTGCACACACATTATCCAGCCTTCCCCCCCCTCCACCGCTGTTCATTAAGAATCCTCAGAACATTTCAATAAATCATAACACAGAGCAGTTAATTCCAAACATGTAATTGCAGCGTGCCTTTGGATTTGCATACACGGGGCAGAGCACTGAAGCTTTATTTTGCATTTGTAAACAGAAACGTGTTTGCAAGAGAATGTGTTATCTTTGCCTTTTAATTGAAGTTGTGGATAAATAGCTTGGCTACCTCACAGCAGTTCAGGTCCATGTTCTCTATTCAAGCTTGAGAAAATGAAACCTCATTACGCCTTTCGTTAAACAACAAACTACAGAATCACTTATTTCCAGACAGCTCAGTTGGCTTTGCCTTTTTCCGTTCCTGTGGGTCAGTTCTGCTTGAAATGAACCAAGTTTACAAATCTCTACTGGTTTGTACACTCCTATTATGCAGAGTAGGTTATGCATTTGTAACTGTCAGGCAGTCAGGGTGATCCAGCATTCTCATCTGACCCTATTCATTTCAATGGGTGCGTCTTGTTGACATTGATTCATGTTATAACTTATATCGATGCATTATAATCCCTTTGTGTCACCCCACTGGTTATTTCTACTAAAATGTTGTGAATAAATGCTGGCAATAATGGTCAGCAGGATCTGAAGCTGTTTTAAGGGATGTGGAGTCCACCTGAAGTCCCAGGTCAGTGCTTTACTCTGGCTTTTTCTCTGGAAGACAATTAACATGCAAAGTATCCTATTCCTGTGCATTTGCATGGCAAAGTGTCTCCTGGCTTATTAATAATTTGGGGCTGTGCATTCCAAATGTATATTGCACTCAACTAAAGGGATAAGTAAACACCATTATGCATGCATGTAGGTCTTTATCAAGGTGTGGTTGATAATGTTTTAAAGCAGAACTATTTCTCATGAAAATAGCTCCTCTTAATAGCCTCTGTCTCTCTATTGTGCTTCTTAGTGAAACATAAATCACTAATATGTTTTCAGCTGCAAACTACTCTCTTTTTCCATTGTATTCACAGATTTAGTGGCATTTCAAATAGATAAACACAAGCAACATCTATCAACACTACAAAAAGGGGGCCTTAATCAAAGCTCCAGGTCCCAGGTCTCAGCATCTCCATTTACCTTGAGATAAATCCATTGGTGTGACCACCACTGCACAGGGTGACAAATCACCCCAGTCAGCTGAGCAGTGCAAGGGCTTATTGGCCTTTCTTTAAGTGGTCTTACCCTTCAATGAAAAGGATGGTGCTTGTCAAGCAGGGCCAGATTAAAGTTAGACAAAAAGAAATGATCTGTTATTAGAAAACTCCGATTGAGAATCACAAAACAGGAAAGAAATATGAATAAGAATTTACAGTGAGGATGCTCCCCCCACCTTTTCTCATCCTCCCCCAAGCAGAAATTAACTTTAATTACTTTCCCAGCTTAGCACATGATGAATGTCAAGACAAGGAGGCATTAACATTAAATAAATAGGTGGCTTTGGGAATGTGCCTGTTGGAGCAGGAGAAGGGGAGCCTGTGCCTGGTTGCTGAGCTACTCCAGCTCAGGTGTGGTGGAGAGCATTCCAAGAATGCTTCCTTTAGATGTGTTAGGGCTGCTTTTGCTGGATACAGCATGGGATGGCTCTGAGGAGATCCATGCCATCACCTATTGGGAGGCAGCACGCTGTGCATGGATCTCTGGGAATGAAAGGATTAGGGTTCAATGGGAGGAGAGCAATAGATGCCTGAGCAGAGTCTTATCTGGGTTGGTCAAAGGCTCTTGATGCTTCCAGCCCATGTTCTGACCTTGTTTACAATGACACAACTGCAGAAGCATCAAAATCTCCTATCAAGGTTGGCCCTTAGCATTTTAGTTCACATAGTTTCTAAAAACAAACTTGAGGTTTAAACCAGGTATATGCAGATAACCTAAAGCCTCCTGAATGTCATTAAATTATCTCAATAGATAATGAGCAAATTTCTCCCTCCAAGAGCCTCGTGTTCTGGTGATCCACATAAATGTGTTTAAAGTCTCTTAAAATCCTATTTATAAAAAGAAAACAAGTGAACAGACAGCAACTGAAAAATTTCAGAGCCAGCACACTTGGAAAATTGAGCAAATATTTGCCCATCCAATTGGTTTGTTTGCCAAAGAAATTCACAGTGAGGGCCTAGTGAGGTAGTGAGAGGAAAAATTACTCATATTTAGATTTTTTCATAGGATCAATGTTTATGGTTGGGTGGGTGGGTGGTCATGGGGTTTTGTTTATTTTTTCCCCGCCACTGATATTCATGCATTTAAAATGCACTCAGTTTCTTGTGACTTGATAGACCACTATAGAAAGATTAATTTTCTGTAATCATTTGATTTGATCAATGTCTACACAGCCCAGTATAAGTTTATTTTCTATTTATCCTGATCCTGAAATTAGTTGCTAAGGGTACTCAAGGGAAACACTTCCATAATTATAAATAGATCCTGACAACAGACATTTCCAAATGTAATAATGTAAAATGGTTATATTTCACATCAGAACATAAAATGGCACTGGTAGGGACACACAAAGGAAGTGTTGCTCCTTTCCTTTGCATAGTGCTGTGCCTAAATAAACGTGGTGTTTGCAGGCCAAAATTTCAATAGCATATGTTCTTCATTAATTATTTTAATTTTTTTTATGGTGTAGACAGTAAGATATAGAGAAATTAAGGGACTTGTACAAGAGGACAGTGGAAGTGAGCAGCAGAGGTAGAAAAAGGTCAAGGCTTCCGAACTCCTTAAGTGGAGAGAAAACTGTGCTGTGCCAATTCGTGGAGTAATCCAAAATTAATGTTTGTGTTGGTACCTTAAAAGCCCAGGGAAGCCACAGGGGATGAAAGACTGGGTTCAGGATTACTTCATGGTGAAATTACTTGGCTTCACTTTCATCAGCAGGGTAGGTTTGCACCATAGGAATAAAGAGAGGGTAGGAAAGTGCTTTGAAGAGGGACAGCACATCATGGAGGTAAGAGTCCTTGACCATAATCCTCAGCACAGACAATTAAAAAGCATCATCTTTAAGTGCCTTTCAAAAACAGTGCAGCCACACTGACTGTGGTAGCCCAGATATAATAAAATATCTATTTAAAGATACCAGTTGTATAGATATAAAAGATCAAGTAATGCTCAGAAGTTAAGAGAACATAATAATTATCTGATAAAATGTATACTACACATAGGCATAGCCTTAAACTGCCATGGTGATTGCAGAGTAATTTAATATAAATTGATTAAGTACATTTTTACTGATGCTTAAAGACTAGTCATAGCATGGGAAATGATGTTTTGTTATCAGCTGCTACTAAACACACGGTATTTGCTGGAGTAAATCCAAGTGTTGGCTTTAGGACACATTATTTAAAGGATTTGCAGCTGCTCTTCCTGCACTCCAGGTTGAACACAATTACCAAACATCACAGGAGGATTTTCCAAAACCAGGGGGGTTTGTCACCCACAGGGACGGAGCACACCTGGGTATGACAGAACAGCAGAGTTGACCCAGCCTTCAGAAGCAAACCAGTTGCTTTCACCAGTATAAACAGAGGAGAATCCTCACATTCCTCATTCCTGTAGGAATAAATCCTTTGCCTATGGGGTGATTAAAGACAGCATCTCGTTTGAGGCAGAGCTACTGAAATAAAGATCACTCCAATTTACATCCCCTAAGAAATCTCCTCTTGATCTGCAAATAAGGGAACCTCAGGACAAGCATAACCTGCTGGATCATTTGGTTATTTTCTATTAGGAAAATGGCATGAATTTTATTAAAATCTAACTGTAAATATTTATGCTGATAGAAAACCCACTGTTGTTATTTTTCTTTTTACTCTAATACCTTAGAAGAGATGGAAGATAATTGCAGGATTCAATAGGTCACTGGAGGTAAAGAGGGGGTTTTTTCTGGAGTTATTGTTGCTGAATACAAACTGCAAGCAAAGGTATGAGGATTTTTTCAAATCTGAAAAGTCACTATTTCTCTTTCAAAGAGGAGAACATATTCTCTTTTAAATCTTTAAAGATCATCTGTTCTGCAGTGCCTGCAAATCATTACTGTTTCATACTGGTTTGCCAAGCGAGGAGCTCAGCTATCCATTTTCCTGCTGAACTCTTTCTGTCTTGGCTCACACCCTCACCTTCCCTGCTTTGTTCATCCCCACACTCTGTGCAATACTCTGCCCTGGTAGTGAAAGTGGAGTGTTGAAGTGCTGATGTAAAACCAAGTGATAAAAATTGCAAATCTTGTCTTCTGAAACCCAGAGTTTGACTCAACAGCCCTTTCTGAACTGAATGTGAAGAGGAGAGAGATTTTGGCACACAGTCTCAAACTCACACACAAAACATCGACCGTGAAGAAATGCCATTTACATGAAAATAGCATGAGGTTTCTGGACTTTTGGAGTAAATATTCAAAGACAGAGCCCCAGAAATTAGGAATGCTCACTGGATGGAGGAAATTGAGGGTTTATGTTTATGGGTAAAATAAATGTTCATTCTTTATATAAATCCTAAAGAAGG